GGCTCAGCAAAGATTTGGTACTTTAAATACTCTCTGCTTGAAAATGCATGAGCAGAACCATGCACCATGGAGGACGTCTCCTCAACCTTTTCTAAACTGACAATTTGCTGTCCCTCTTAGAAATATTTTTGAGTACTTATTATTACTGGGATTTTATTTATATTTGAACAGCAATTATGAGAAAAATGTGAAGTATTTGATTAAAACTCACATCACTTATATTGTATGTAACCAGTGAATTAAAAAGACTCCCAACCAAGGCTTGAGGGCAAAATAAATGGGGTAGAAATGGTTGAGTAAAGCCACATTAGCTTTGCTGACTTTACATGTTGAGTCAATGTAGTTTTACCATGTCATCCCTCTTTAGTTCTAAGCTATTCAGCTGTATGCACCCCTCTTGGTAACATTTGCTTCTGGAACATTTTGAAAATTGTTTATATAGGTTAAAAAAATTAGCAGGATGCTTTCACTGTTTTACCTCCAGCCTAACAAAAAATCTAGACTTTTAGGAGTTTCTCTGTGTGTAAACAGATATGACCTGAAGTATTTTCCATTTGAATTTAGTTTTATAAGTATCATCAAATCAGTTATTGGCTCATAACTGTTGTATCATATAATTGTATCATATAATTTATTTCTTTGCAAATATTCTCAGTAAACTTCTAGATTTTTTTGTAGCATCTTGTTTTTTATGAGAAATGACATTTAATCAAAATTTCATAAGAGAAATTCAGAGAACATGAATTGGCTCTCTTCATTAGTAATTATTCACTTACCTCAAATAAGTTTGGTAGTTTCTTAAAATCTTTGTAATTATGTAGAACAGTAAGGTCTTCTGATTTTGTTGCAAGTTTCCTCACTTTAAAATAATTTAATTGTTCTTTTAGAAGCAGAAAACTTCAAAATATTTTTACACATTTGATTCTCTATCACTTCAAACTTTTTTTATTCCTTCAACCTGTTTTTATTAATTTCCTTAATTCTTCAGGCACGGACATTGATTTTAACAAAATATTAATGTTAATAGAATGAAAAATTTCCTATTTCTGATTGCATAATATCTGCATCTTAAATTATTTGCATCCCTTGACTTCAAAATACTCTAAAATGGGGTAACTCGTTAAGGGATAAGGGAATAATGCCCAGTCTTTCAGGAGTTTCTCTTTCATTGTCCTAGGGAAATGACTTTTTACATACTGATTTTAGGTCTGAAAATACAGAAAACAGTATCTTTGTAGAAGCTCTTCTGCGATATCTGCTGGCTGAATTGGCACTTGCAGTTTGAAAGTGCCACATACTAATACAAATGCTAATACTGGCTGGAATCTTTCCAGTTCTATTAAACTCTTTCAATTTCTGATAATTAGTGTACTGTGGCCGTAGTCTGACAAGAGGACATTTCTGGAAGTCATACTACCCAAATTGGACTTCTAAATAGAGTACAATGATGAAAAAGGTTATGTATGGACTTATAGGTATAGTAACAAGTTGAAGAGGCACCCTTTTTTTCCACTTGGGAAGCTATGGCACAAAAGGTCTTAATGGGAACAATGGTGTGGTAGGTGTTCAAAGGATGAAAAAGGGCAAGTGAGACATAGACATGTAAGACTTCATACAATGCTTTGAAAATTCATCTGTCAAGGGGTTATACCCACTGTAAAATTAAGAATTTTTATATGTAATGAAGAGTTCAAAGGCATGTGAATTTTATTTAAAGACTACGAATGGGGTTACAATAGTAATGATGAAATCTTGTCTTTCACATAAACTAGAGATAAGAACAAAGTCTTACACTTGCATTATTATAGAATCATTTCTCTTATGTTTATGACATTTTCATTGTTCAGAGGGACAGGGTGGAACACGAACTCTGCTTTTCTAGTCTTGTGAACTTTAGTATGATTTATTATAATATTACAGTAGATTACTAATCCATAATAAGTCTTTTTCTCATCTCTAATAGTATATGAGAAAGTTGAATTTTTTTTGAGGAATTGTGAAAATTGCATTTCTTTGGTTGACAGTTTTTCTAATTGTATTGGAAATGCTCAAAGGCTTGTTGTATCTTCAGGTAAAGTGCAGAGATATTATGGAAAGGAGGGAATTATTTCAACTGAACTATTTTATGCCACTTTCCTGAGTCCTCCTGCCTTTTCAGGGGCTTATCTCACTGCATTTAAGACTTGCTCACTGAAATGAGCTGTTGAGAAAAGCTGGAAGGAGCCTCTCCTCCAGCTCTCCCACCAAACAGCTCTGCACGTGGGCTCCCTCCCAGTTCACCTCAGACAAGCTTTTAAGTTGAGACTCTCATGCTTGAAGATTACTTCACTATAGATAGTTCTGTGTAAACACTACTTCCTGAAGGCTATCTAAAGAAAGAAACAACTAATTATTGAAAGGGCCTTGGATGGGATACTGATTAAATACCATCTTCAGTTTTCTAATTAAACATCTGTTGTATTAATCAGTTTACTGATCCTGCTCTGTTTCACTAAGTAGAGAATTTGTGTTTTAAATGTTGAATATGCAAAGTCTGCTTTATGGCTTTGTACTTCATCATCTCAGATGCAGTTGGCAATCCATCCTGTAACAATGTCACAAAAGGAATATTTGTTTTTCTTCCTTTTTTATTTGACTAACTGTTCAGTGCTTAAATAATCAACTACTGTCTTCAGTTAGCCAAATTATAGTTGTCTAGGTGATTTCTTTCTGAGCAACTGGCTTCCTATCTTAGCTCTTTTTCCTTTCAGTTGCCTTCACTGTTTAGCAGAAATAGGGAATTTAACCTTTTCTTTAGAGTTAGAAAACATATACATTCTAAACGATAAAGCTCAGATATTGCTTTTCAGACTACATATTTTTTAATACTCAATAAAAACACATGGCACAGAAGTAGATTTATCCCATGTAGTTCTCCTTCTTTTCCATGTTTTGCCTGCACTTCAGAGAGTTTAAATTTCACTAAGGGAGCCTTTCATTTAGGAGACAATTGCCTGAAAAGCCAAGATCAGTGTTGATAGCAGTTAAGAAATTGGACTTTGCACATCAATACTTGAGCCATATCAGCCTGTGACCGGCATAATAAATGATATTACATGCATGTATTTTTTGTTAGACAAAGATGCCATCTTGTGGCAGAATGTTGGAAATTGTATCAAACAGTTTTAATTTTGGTGGAGAAACGCAGTCAAATTTTTAGCAATATTTCCAGTATTGTTTGTTGTACCATCATCCATCGAACCGTGATCCTAATATACATACATACCAGAGATATCTGATGAGCTAGCAAGTGAATATTTAGTCTTTAAGAGAAGGCACTTATGAAAAATGCCTGATGGCAAAAAGTGTTCAGCATTGGGAAAAGTGTGATAATTCTTTCCTCTAGTAAGAAGTCAGCTTACAGTTAAAAGACCCTCTTTATAAAAAAAAAGCATGGTTTTTATGCTTTATTCTCAGAGAAGGTGTTAAATTGCTCGTAGATTTGTCTTACATCTAAAAACTGAAAATAACATAAAATGAGACATTAGTGACTAAGTGAATAAAACTAATTAATACTATTATCTTTTCTTTTACTATGCAGTTTTCTCATTTACAGTAGCAATTTGTAAATTTGCAAATATATGACCTCTATAAATAAAATACACAGACTAACTATGTATCACAATTAAGATTTGCCAGCCAGACATACAGGTTTTCTAAAATGGCCTAAAAATGAATAAAGGTTAGATCAATAAATGTTTGAGCATTGATTTTGATTCAGATTAATATTTACATTTTGTATTATATTATTCAAGGAGAGATGAAAAAGGGAAATAATTGGTGCATCGAGGAGGTATCAGAAGAATAACAGTAATTAATTGTGCACAGGTGGACTTGAATAAAGAGGCATCTGTTTCACATTTCTGAAGCAGTAGGGAAGTCACACAGATGTGACAGCCTGTGTAATCACAATATGAGTAAGTACCAAGGAGTCATCTTGCTCTCAGAAATGTTTTTCACTGACTCTTGCCAGCTACTTTTTGCCTTTAACAGAAATCAGTTTAGTGTTTAGATAAATGTACGGTGTGTTTTATGAGGTTTGCAATATAGAAGTAAATAACAGAAGATGGTAAATTAAATATTATTTTAGTGAAAACACCATTAGAGAATGCAAACTTTACTCATGCTCTGACTTAAAAATCAGGTTAGTCCTACTAAGCATTTTGGAGTTTTTAGAGATTGAAAACATGAATAAGGAATGGCACAAATACTTGTGGTTAACTATCTGTACCTTCAATTCAAGAACTTAGTATAAGAAACAAAATGTCAAAGCCATAAATTTTAGAATTTTTATGAAGAAATAGTTCTTTTTCCATATTTGATGGTAACCTAAAAAACTGCATTAAAATGAGTTTAAAGTGAGGCAAGAAATCTCCTAAATTCAGGAAAGAGATTACATATTCACATGAGTTTACACTGAAATCTTGTATGATATTCACAAGGATGAAAAATATTCATGGAGAATATAAAAGCAGAATTAATTAATATAAAAGCAGAATTAATTAACAAATCTGAAAGTAAGAAGTTACCTCTGTCTGTACATTAGGCTATAATCTGAAGAATTTGGTAGTTATTAAAACTGGATATAGAGCAATACATATAGAAGGATTCATATGACTTTGATATAATGAATAATTTCTAACATTTAAGATATATAGAAATATTGTGTTGACTGTGTATGGCATGGGCACACAGTTAAAGTCCTCAGAAATCTATGCAGATCAGTCTGTAATTATTCATACCTATATATTCAATATCTGACTTTTACATATAAGAAATGTTCACTTTTATCAAGCAAGGACATGGCTATTATACTTTGCTTATTAAAGAGGTTGCAAAGTAACAAATAGTCTTCTCCTGACTGATATCCCTGTCACTTGTTCATCCAGAAGTATCATGGAAATATTCATACACTTAACAAGAAAGAAGATAAATTGGGCTGTGAGTTGCCAGTGATTCTCTCAGGTGAACACCTTATTTTGCCACTTTAAATGAAGTTCTTCTGAAAGATCACTTCTGCCACTCTTCTGCAAATAGCGAGCCAAGAGCTGCTGTTTATCAGCTGACTTTGGAAGGGTCTTTTTGCAGCAGCAAAGCAGCTCATACATCTGGTGTGTTAAATTATCAGGGCACTTCAGCCTAACAAGCTGAAGCACGCTCCATCGAACAGATAAACATAAAGCAAACAATGATGTATTATCTTCTGCAAGCTCTTCTGCAAGCCAGAACAGCAACTTGTCCCATAGGGCCTCTGAAGGGCAAAAATTAGTGAAGTAAGACTAAATCTTCCTTTTTTTTGAAAAGCTTTTTAAAGCTGGAGGCTTGGTGGCTAAACTCCCCAGCTAAATAGGGAGTGTTTTATACTTTGGTGGAAACATCATCTCATTTCATTTCCAATGCCATTTTTGGTAACTGCTCTGCAGTATGAATTGAATTTAGTCCAGAGCAGATTCAGCAATGATCTATAATTTTTGGAACTGAATGAGGAAAGTTAGCAGTAAAATAAAAGATTTTCAGTATTTACTGCAACTGATTCATCAATTATACTGGAGCTTTTCAGTACAAACTGGATTTCCTTATACACAAAACTATATGCTGTTCAAGCATCCCACCACAACAGGAGCTGTTGCATTTCCTGGTAAACAGATCTCTTTTCCTTTGACTACCTCTTAACATATAACTATTTCCTTTCTGAATATGGCATTCTCAAGTGTCAGTAACAGCTGAAAGCCCTGGAATTAAAAAAAAAATAGCAAGCGTAGGTCTTTTTTATATGGATATAATTTAATGGTTATTTTCTTATCTGATGAATCAGAAAAAAATTGTTTTGTACTTCATGGATGAGGATCAATTTTTCATGCTATTAAAGAAAATGTGTTGAGGAAAGAGAAATGATGACGAGTAAGAGGTGATGCATATGATTTGGGAGTGGAATGCAGTAAAATCTTGGAGGTTCAACTCTAAGCATTTTGAATTTTTTCTACTTACATAGAATATTTTTGTCATTATTAAAAACAATTAACACCATCAACAGGTATAAAACAGTATATACTTATTAAAATAAAGAAATTAACAAAATTTTCATCTATCAAGTGGGTGTTTATTATCTCTTATAGAAAGTTCATCCTTCATGTAACTTTACAAATATTTTATTAATAGCATTATGCCATAAGTGATATATATAAACTGGCTGTATGGAAAATCTGTATAGAACCTTCCTAGATGTTACAGATTCTAATTTTGAATACTGCATTAGCTTTGCCTTCCTTTCAAGGAAAAGAACAATTTCTAGTTTTGCAGTAGCTATTGTGAGGTCAGGTAACCACGCTGTATTTGTAGCTATAGTTATTCATTTTTCATAGTTCATCTTTTAATAAATCATCATGAAAAATCATCAAAATTCAAAAGGTAAATTCCATTAGAAAGTAGAGAGTTTTTCCTCTTTCTTCTCTAAACATTGGAGAGAAAGAAAAAATACTTTGTCCTGTTTTACTTATGGCTGAGAAAGATGAAAGTCTTCTGGGCTTTAGTGTTGTTTCCTACTGCATATAGAACAAGAAATTACTTACATAAGCACTGAGCACAAAGAAAGATTAGTTTGTACGAAGTGATATTCAGATTTTTTTGTTTGAAAATGAAATTATCCTCTTTCAGTGCCCATATTACTTTTGTCATGCACATTCAGTTGTATTACCTGGCTGTTTATTCACAGCTCTCCCAAGGAAATTTGCCTGAGCTTTATTCACTGATTTTCTGTTTTTCATTTGGAATTAAGAACATGAAACTCAGACTGGAAAAGTTATTGTTTTCTTTCTGATATACTATTATGGAGCTTATCTTCATCGCTTCTATAACACAGGCTTTAAATACTGTTCAATATTTGGAGTGTCTCAAATGTACTGACCTGCACAGCCTTAAGGTCAATATATTCATAACCATTATCTATTGTGAATTAAACAGCTTTTCATCTGGCCTGTACACAGTCATCCTGGGAGGTGATTTCAGTGCACGCAGGATGCACACATTACGCACTGCATGGCCGTGCAAAACCATCCTGTGCTGTACTGCTGTGGAGACCCTGGGGCTTGGACTAGGAGACCTTTAAAGGACCCTTCCAACCCAAGTTATTCCATGATTCTATGATCTGAATCTGCCTTGTTTTGCATGATTCTACAGAAATTCTGTCATTGCATGCGCCCCAGCATGAAAATAGAATGACATGGCTAAAAAACTCTCAGAATAAAGGGAATATAAAGCTCTTCCAGAAGGGGGCATTGCTTTTCTTCCAAGACTCAGCTTTCTCTGGCTTTGTCTAATGATGCATTTGCACTTAAACTTTTTTCATTCATTAATGAGAATTTACCACCTCAAAGGTCTGTGTTAGATTTTCAAAGTTATTGCAGATGAACTCAATTACCCATGCATTGACTTTAATCTGAACCACTTCATGCTACTTAATGTTAAAATAGTAGTAAAAATAATAAGAATTGAAAATCAGTATTGTCTAAAAATAGTGTAATGATATACAATGCATTAGATCTAAAACAGTAAATTGCCTTTTAAGATTAAGTGTCTGTGGTGAAGTGCTAAATTCACCTACGGTTCAGCTGCACTGGCGTGTGGTCCTGCTGTTCTGGTCGACAGATTAAGTAAAATACTCTTAGCAGTCAAAGCAGTTTTCTAGTCTGGAAGGCCCTTCAATTAGCCATGCAACTGCCTTTCTGAAGCAGGGAATAACATGCTATTCTGCTGTTGGGCAGTCATTAGACATAAAACTTCAGCAGAATAGTAATTTTATAATGTCTATATGTATTACAGCTATCTATTTTTGCAAAGCATTCCCAGCCAGTAACACTGATGTGCTTTGTCAAATAGACCTCTCAGTCTTGACCAGACTCTAGTAGCATATTAAACAGGACAGACAGAAAAGGAGAAATTAATCTTTTACCTCCTTAGCCCACTGTGTCACATAAATACAAAATCTTTGAAATCAATAAATATGCACACACCTACTTGACATCAAAACCTAATGCACTGTATCTGACTTGTGTTGAACAAAATAGGTTAGAGCAGCAGGTGTTTTCTGTTGCTGAGGAAAAAAAAGCAGCATAAATAGGAATCATTAGTGAAAATCAGATTAATTCTGTAGAAAATATATGTTTAAAGTAGAAATATATGTTTAAAGTAGAAATATATGTTTAAAGTAAAAACTGATGTGAATGTTTGCATACAAAGTAAACAAACAGTATTTTGACCACTGTCAGCAATATATTTGTAAGTGGATAATGAAGGCATATACATATAGAAAATGGGTTATGATTGTACAGTTACTGCCTTCTTTAAAAAAGAAGTTTAGATGGGAATTTTACAGAAATGAGTGGAAATGGAGTAGTCAGAATGGTCACCTTAAAAAGACTCCATCTGTCTTTGTCACAACCAAAATCAGACATTCCGGATTATTTTAACTATGATCTGGAAAAAAAATAAATTGAGACATGTGTAAAGACAAATTCAAAAGAAACATGCTACTATTTCTCACCAGAGATTTAGACCAAGTGTTTCTGTAGATATTTTGATATCAAAATGTATGCAACTTTGATAGTAGTAGTTTAGTGGCAGCATTTTGTGCAACATAGTGTGCTGGTACATAGGCTCTTTGAAAAGTTTACAATGAGATTTCATTGCAGGAATATTAAAGATTATTTTATATGGCATGAGGTTTCACCAGAGAAGGAGATAATTGCCCACATGACTGTACTGCAGAGGCTAATCAGGAATAATGGAATGATCAGGTGATAGGTGGAAGACAGGTTACACAAACCATTTAATGATCCTACAATTTGCAATTCTCTGCTCCCAAGACAATGAAACACAAATGATACACCTGAAACTTCAGTAATAATTTCACAGTGCCATAATAATTTCTCCCCTCCAGCTGGGGAGAGTAGTTGGGTGAAAATTTTCTGCTAGAATTTTTTCCATGCTTATACCTGGGTATGGGTCCTTCCCCACAGCTAATAGAAATTCTGAGAATGTTTGTACATTGAGGATGCACCAGAATTTTATCAGTGACTTCTGTGTTTATCTGTAAATCAAAAATCATACCAAGATCCTTTTTCTAATAAATGTAAGGTAAGACAGAAAGGGAAATAGGGAAAATCTAATATTATCAAGTTAGAAATGCACCTTTGGCAATGTTAATGCTAATTTGCACAGTGGAGACTGGTGTTGATATTCATCATATGGTAAGGTTTGTTCCCATTTCTTTGGTATCATTTCTCTGGTAATTTTATAAAACACTGCTGTTCCTTTGTAATGAGGTGAACTGTGGTTACCAAATTCATCCACTTCTTTAATTTGGAGCTCCAGCCTTGGTTGTCTTTGTGAATGAAAATCAGTTTGTAGACTTTCCTGAAGGCTTCTCCATTCCCTGCAGTCCATATAATAATTTTTTTTTTAATTTATCCTGCATTTAGGTGCATGGCATCTAAAGTAATTCATTAGCATGAGTCAAGTAAAGGTAATCATATAACATTTGGTTGTTCCTTGATTGTTCTTTATCATTCCTATTACTTTATTGAACATGTGAGTTCAGCCTGCTTCAGTAGCAGGCATATCTTTGTAGCTAGCTTTCTTAGCCCTTTAATAGTTGGCTTCAAGAATAAGTGGTGAAGGCAGTGCTACAAGTTGAAAATCAAGGAACAGAAAAGGAGGTATGTACATAACATAAAGAAGAATAAAAATAAAGGGGTGTTGTGAATGGAATTAAAAGTATATGCTTTCTGGTTATTCAGGATGAATAGCTATGTGTAACAACAAAATGAATGGCAGCAGAGGGGTAGATGCATTTTTAGGTTTTCTAAATCCATTTATTTGATAAATCTACAGACACTGTCCTTTGTGTATAAAAGCAGACATTTCTCATGGGCTGGAGACTTCTCTTTTTGAAGAATATTCCTTTCTTTAGAGTACATGCAGTTTTCAATGGGAGAGTTTACGTACAAAATGTTCAGAGGGCCAAATATATATTTATATGTACAATCTAAGACAGACAGAAGAGACTATATGCAATTTAGGGTGAAAACCTTTCAGAAGCTTCTTCTCCCTTTTCCCTATAAGCAAGTCTCTGAATGGTGGCAGTCACTACATGGAATTTTCTCGGCTACTAACAGAAATGGCATAACTCTCTCTCTCATCACCTCAATTCACAGTGCAACTCACAACAGGCACTGTTTTGCCTTGGTTTCTTGCTCAGTCTAAGTGAATTTACTTGGACAAAGCAGCAGACAGAAACCTGTCCTTTTAAAATCATTCTTAAAATACCATGTGTTTCTGAGGAACCAGGTTTCACAGAATTCACAGGGGTTTAAGAGATCATCTTGTCGCACTCTCCTGCTCAAAGCAGGGTCACTGAGAGCACATTGCTCAGGAGCTCGTTCAGATTGTGCATTTTCTTTACAGTTGGAGCAGTTTCCCATGAAGCTCCACGTTCCTTTCTTTACAAGAAACAGAACACTGAAATAAACTAACATTACACACTAAATGTACTATGAGTAACTTCAGTCTACATGTGTTCCCATACAGCCTGTTTAATAGATGAGGCAGTTGATAATGTTCATACACTTGCATGAATTAACTGCCTTACCTGAAGCAGAAATATTTCCTCTAAATCTAAAATGAATCTGCTCTCCTTGTCTTAATGGGAACTGCTGTGTAGGTTCTGGGGGACCAAAATAACCCTCCTGATGAAGATTTTGAAGTTCGTTGGTCAATTCTCTGGATGCAGACAGCAAAACTACTATTTTATATGGGTTTTCTCTTTTCTGATACAGTATCACATTAGCCATCGGGCTATGGAGAGCTTCTTCCAGAGCCTGAGAAAAGAGGAGAAGATACCTGTTTTCCCAAAGGAATGCAAGGTGAATGACCACAAAGCTGTAGTAAGGTAAAAAAGACAAAAGGAAAGAAAATTAAATTTAAATGCTTTATTTAAAATAATGTATCAAATGCTAATAATTTTTTCTTAAAAATAATGTGGGGCTCAGTCTCCAAGGAAACTTTTGCTACCTTCTTTTCATTCTTGTTTCCAACACATGAAAAGGTGGAAATCTGCTTGTGTTTGTAGTGTAAAGTATGTTGACTGTGTAGGTATGATTTCAAATACACATGAATTTTACATGAAAGTAAGATAATATTTCATAATAAGAATTAAAAAAAATTGTGCCTTTTTAGTTAGAGAGCTAAATCACATTTGCCAATAAGACAGATATCTGCATTTCCTTTTTCAAAGTTCTATGTACTACATTGTGTACATTCTATAAAGAAAAAAGGGTTGTTTTTGTAATTATGAGCAACAAATCTAGGAGCAAGTTAATGGTTAAATATGGATGATTTCTTAACACTACTAATTTCCACTTATTTGTAAACACAGAGCTAAATATTTCAGTGAATAAAATTTTGTCAAATTGTTCATACATTACCTTTCTAAATGCTCATTTAGTTCAAAAGATATAAGCCCATTCTGTGCATTCTGGATAATAACATCATCAAACAGCTTCCACCCCTCTTCTTTGTTTCCATGACCTAATAATTTCAAAGTATCACTGAGATTGTCCTCACTTTTTCTCACAGAAGTGCTCACAGCCCTGGAAAGCCAAATAATTATAGAAAAAATAGCATAAAAATAGTTCTGCAGAAAGAGTAAGCTTGTGTTTGAAGCTGTTTTCCCCTCTGCTGTCCTTGATGACTTTTTCTGGTTTACCCACCATGCTTAAAATCTGTGTCTGGAGAGATACTTCAGAGTATGTGAATGATATAATTATTTAGATGTTTTTTCTTAAATTCTCGAGAAAGTACTGAAACATAGAGATCATATTTTTTTTTTTTTTTCAGGAGTGTCAATGTTTTAATGGTTTTTTAAGACATGCCAAAAAGTTTTAGAAATATTGGTAACTGCATACTTTTGAAAAATCTGGACTTTTATCTAGTGCATAAAATTGACCTACTATAAACCATTGTGCCATGCATTTTGATTCAGGCAAACATTAAATGTGTAGAAGTAGAAATGAAAAAATTCAAAGGTCAGACTCAAATCAACTTGGTGTGTTATGAACACAGCAGCTCTATGTCATGTCTATTCTTTGTGTTCAATTTTTGACTTTGGTGAACATGTCTGAATATTTATTGGTGAAAAAACTTCATACAGTCTTCATTCTGACTCCTGCTAGAAATGTAGTGGTCACCATATTTAAGAATAAACATCAAATACTGTATTAATTTTTCTGGTGAAAATATAGCATGAAAATGTTGAGGGCTTGCTCTAGTGTTTCTAACAAAGCCCATAGGTATTGCAGTCTATATTAAAGAACAAACAGTTTTAATACAAGAAATCATAAATCAAAACCTGTTAAAATTCATTAATTTTGATGTTTTAGAAAAATGGTGAATTTGAAGTGAGGGTCTTACTGAGGATGGTATGCTGCAGCAACCCTCTTTACTATAGCACTAATAGCTCTTGCATCTTCTGTCTCATCTCCTTGCCTTTTTTTGCCTGGGTTTGGAGAACAGGGTAGAGTAATAGTGACAGCTGTTAAAAGGTTGGGATGAAGGATGCTGGACATGAACCAGTGCACTCATAGATATCACTGAATGATACATATAATGTCTTGCTTTCAATGCTGAAATTGATGGCTCAGTTGGCTGAATCTAAATATAGAAAGAAATTGTATAATCAGCTTGCAAAAAAAAAAACCCTCTTCTATTACATGCCTGGATTTTTTACAAAAATTGGTTTTACAAAATTGGTTTATCTTTTGTAGTTGGCTAGGCTGTCACAGAAGAATCAGACTCCTCTTTTTAACCCAAGAACATCCTTACCCACGTAACAGCACTTTATACAAAGCTCAGAAAAATGCTTGAAAGTCATCAAAACCTGGAACTTCTATTGCCTAAAATATTTATATTATTTTGTTCCTGATTTGAATTCAAGTTTTGAAACTTATGAGCTTCCTCAGATTATGAAAAATCTGAGATTTTTCTAATCTGTATTTTTTCATAATTTTAATATCTCCATACTTCCAAATTAACATCTTAATGGGGAAACAGAACTGAAGCACAATTTGAGACTATACTCAGCCTAAGACTAATACACAATAAAAACCTTTTGTTGCACTTGCTGGCACCAAGGAAAGAAATGGTGAGAGAAATGAGTCAGGTGAGAGAAATGGTTCCATTCACTTTATCACTGGACCAAGCAATTAAAGTTTTGAGTTGACACATCTTTATTGAAAATGACTATATTTTCTGAACTATATCAAACAAGGGTAGATAGATCTTTTTTAGCTAAAGATATCCCTGACATGTGGTTTTAACAAAGCTGACAGGAAATCTGCATGTACAGGATGTGAAGCTGCAACCACTTCTTATAGACTTCTGGTATTGGAAGAGATTGCACTTTTAACATCATTAGCATACTCACTTCAGAGCTGATCAGATAACAGGCTTATGGAACAAGTTCATCAAAATCACCTATTTCAAGCTTACCTTTAACTGCATAGGTGCCAGAGAACTGAATGTTTCTGGATGGTAACAGAGAGATTCTAGAATCCACGTTCAGCTTTTGTTAGAGTCCTACCTTTGGAACAGTAAATGTTTCCTTCTTTAAGCATGACAACACAGAAAAAACACCCAGATAATAAATTTTTACTTCTGCAAAGCTTTCCTGATTAAAGAGAATGTGAGGTTAGAGTACTGGAGGGAAAGGAAGCTGTGTTTCACAGTTTGAGAAGGTAACATTCTCTACAGAGCAAAGTATGAAATGAAAATAAATTGGCTATTATTGCCACCTGCATGCCCAAGTACCTGGTGATCTCTAGTCATCATATGATGTTATTCATATTCCAGTGTATGATTGGGGTGAAATGAAATAAATTTATAAACTGGGTGATGAATCTGGTCCAATACAACACTTCTGCATTTAAAAACTGTTCATTTGATATAGTTTGTACATATTTATACTCATGGAACTATGTTACTTTGTTGTGATCTAAAAGCATAGTAATTCCCCCTAAATTTTGCTTTTATCAAATAATGCAATGCATTGCACTTATTTATAATACTCATGAAACATCACTAAACCATTAGTATTGTGGGATCAAGCATTTGCTTAACATTGTAAGTGAAAAAAAAGAATGTTAGTAAATACTAGTTTTCAAATAGAAATAGTGCTTGAGAAAGTAGAAAGTTCTGTTTAACCACACATAGTGGGCAATATGATTTAATAATGACAACTTTACTTGAAAATCTCCAGAGACTTAACTGGGAGGCTTAAACTCTGCTTTTGCAATCCTTTGATGAGAGTTACTCCCATTATGGTTTCCTTGCTATCCTTGCAAAGAAATATGAGTTAAGTAGTTTGACTGGAAGTTGGTATCAGTCACCTTTACCATAATCTCCCAATAATTTCCTCTGAAGCATGATGTAAAAGGGATTGCAATGTTGATAGGGAAAAGTGGTTTTTCATAATCATAACATTCCATACTGATGACATTGCTGACCAGCTCCTCAGAATCATCCACCACCAAGGAACTAGTGTCATTGAGTATATTACACTTCAGATTCTCCAGAACAGTTGCAGGGGCTTTAATAAAACAAGCTATTTCCTAGGGTTTTTTTTCCACTCCCTTTGACTAGAAATCTTTTTTTAAAAAAATTATTTGTATTTTGAGTGGGGTAGAATTTTGTATTTTTAATTAAATACTTCGATGTAATGATGTGCTATAATGAAGCATAAGAACATAATTCAGAAAAATATTTTTAAGAATAAATGAGAAAATAATGAAAAATTTTATGTTTAGCCTGTTTCAGAACAGCTTACAAATTACTGTAAAACTGATGAATTGTGGTCCTTTCCTGCTAATTTCCAACAATTTGAGGATTATTGACTTTACTGGCTGTGACTCAGTCCCTCTCTGGCATAAAAAAAATATGCAAATAGAAATATAGGGTTTACTTTAGACTAAAGGGAAAGATCTTCGTTGCACATGTTCAAATTGTAAACTGCTGTTATGTGCACAACCAGCATCTGTTCAGTACATGTATATTGAGTTTCTGCACCCACACATGTTCATAAGTTAATAAGCAATAATTATGTACATCTGTTCCTTAAAAAAAGGGAGAATATGTGCTTACTCTTTGTTCATCCAATATCTAGATTTTTGTACTTCTCCTGAATCACTCACAGAAGGATTCACATCAGGAATACCATAAGTTTGTGCTGAAGAAGTGAAGGTACCTAGGTAATTTCTAAAAATCTCATTATTTTTTTTATTTTACTGTCTTCCAGTTTCTCTGTCAATTTGTGGTCTTCACTTTCTAGCCCTTTTAAATTGTCCCTGACTACTTCCTTTTTTTTCTGTTCAAAAGAATTCATGGTGCTTCTGTCATAAATGTCCTTCAATGTCCCAGACAGAATGTCTTCCTCATTGCTTGTAAGAGCATCCTGAAAAGCCAGGTCTGGTGGCTTTTTAGTAACAGAGCTACCTCCATGAAGTTTTCCACTGCACTCTTTTTTCTCTGTAAGAGACAATCAGTAGTTGGTGTTCACCATCTTCCTTTTTCATTGGAGACTCTCTGCTGGTGTCTTGTTCTTGAGCAGATTTGTTTTCAGCTAAGGATGCAATTAACAGTTTTAATTTCACTTCTGTGGGTTTGATTGACATTTTGACTTTCTGTCTTGTTCAGAAAAGGAGTTCTTTGGAATTGCTGTCTGGAACTGGAAGATGCTTGCACAGAGTCTGTTGCTTCTCCTTCTGAACAATGCACATCTGTTTCTCCAGAAGCATTTTCACCAGTCTGGTTCTGAGAATCACCATCTTGTCTGCAGCTTGCAGCATAAAATTTATTTTCTGCCTCTTGAAGGTGTGAGATTGTATTTATCAAATACTCCTTCACTTTCTGCAGATAATTATAATTCCATTGTATTTTGAGGCAAAAAAACCCCCAAAAACAATTACATTTTGCTATGAAAGCTAGACAAAAATGTGAAAACTATTATACATATATTTATTGAATTCCATATAATCCCATAGTACCATTCAATACATGAAGCACACTCTATTTCCTGGCTTCCATTTAATGTTTTTGCATATATTGCTATTCAGGTGAAGTCAATTTCTAAGGAACTGAATATAGACAAGTACATTTTTATACTTGTCTAAGAACAACTGTGTGTGTATTTGTCAAAATTTTACTCTGGCAACTCTAATGAACACTTTTCTAATGATCAGACTCTAGCTAAATTCTTAATGACAATCAATCCAAAGCATGGTATTGATAAAATATAGTCAAATCAATTTGGGAAGATCTTTAGAATTAAATATTATATTTCCTAAAATTGAATCCTGTAAGATTCTGATGCATAGGTCTATAGCAAGGCTGTTATACATGGACCTAATTTTAAATTCAGACCTTAGAAGCTCTGAATTTTTGCTATGAAGAAGAGATGACAACAGAAAACCACCAGCTCACATATAATACAAGCCCAGCAATTCGTAATATCCAGTTACAGGAATGATGAAGGTTGCCCTTGCATGTAATTAAAACCACTTTGTGAAGAAGAATGCAGAAAAAGCACACAACCACTATGTCCCATTAATGTAATATTTTAACTTATATATTTTATGATCCCTTATTTTTCTTATCTTGAAACTTTTCTTAGAAATTATTCCAGATACTCTCTCCAAGGATTTGAAATGTATTACTTGGAGCTCTTCCTGCATCTTATGCTGTCAGCCTCTATAACTGTAGAGGTATCTTTCCTAGTTAGATGTATTGGAAACCTTGGAAAATTTTATTTCTGTGCTGTATGAGATCCTGGATAATTTTGTTTTGCAGGTTAAATCTCTTGAAAGTCTACAAATAAGACAATAGACATAAGGTACAGTATGGTGTGCTCTCCACCTCCAATATACAGGTACAAGGAAAGAAAAACAGAAAGGGCTGATGCGAGTCTTACAGGAAGCCTTTGACTTAACATTCACTTTTTTAACAATGTCATATGAGGTAAATAATACCTCAAGGTTTTCAGCTTGGAAAATAATTTTATTAAGAATGCCATCACATATCAATGTGATCTAGATAAGTCTCTCATCTCTATTTACATCTGATTATTCTGACCTGTACTTTTTGTAGGTTTAAGTCAGATTCTTCTTATTTAACTTGGTCTAAAAATATTCCTTTCTAATACCCTCACTTTCCAAGTGACTTATTAGACTTTAACTATATTTGGAAAAAAATAAATAAAAAAGGAAGCAAATGCATTTTTAAAGTATTGTTTACACTGATAGTTTCAAAAAAGAAATACTATTACTGTTTTTCCGCAGGCACTTTTACAGTAATGAAGAAATTCTTGACAGTTTAACAGGACTGAGAAATCAAAAAAAGGATTGGAAATAACAGAGCTTTGTTTGCAGAAGAGGTTGTAAAATACCACTTCCCAGTTTCACTGTAAGGTAAAGGTCAACCTTAGGCAAAACTGTCAAAATTTACATTTCTCCCTGAATTTTGCATTTTCTAAACAAAACAAAGAAACCCTCAAACAAATTGTACAGCCCTTTGAACTTCCCTAAAATCGAATTTGAAGATAAGAGGGTAATTGAAAACAATGGCATTTTCCTATGCTGTAAATGTGACTTTTCTAATATGGGCAAGAAAAGATATGGCCTTGTAACCATATAGTATCCAATTACGTCACATGGAAAGACACTTTTTCCATTCAATTACAAGGTTAACTATGAAATAAGTCTTCTTTTGTGATTTTCCCCTTCCCCATTTATTTTCTAACAATTTGTTTTCTGTGCTTTTTCTGGTGCTTGATAACACAGCTTTAGAATAAAGAGGTAGTTTATATGCAACTGTCTCCAAACCTCTTTGCTGAGTGTTTTAAGGGATTTTTTCAGGGGAGGTATAGCAGCTTTTTGGAAGAGACTGATTCTTGGAAACATGACAAAAGAAGAATTAAAAAAAATCACATAAACCATGAGGCCAACAGGACAGTTAGCTTGCTTGGAGCCTAGAAGGAGGCTTTTTAGACTCAAATGTTTTGTTATTATTATAGACTTTATAAATCTGTAGGTTAAGACTCAGAAACACAAGCATAGCTAAACATTTCTGTCTGTAATCTCTTTCTTTCTCTCTCTTTGCATCATTGAATCATTGTAGAATGATAGAATGGTTTGGATTGGAATGAGATGTTCTTTAAGGTTCTTTCCAACTTTCCTTCCTGTCATGGGCAGAGACACCTTCTAGTAGACCAGGTTGCTCAAAGCATCATCCAGCCTGGCCTTGAACATTTTCAGGGATGGGGCATCCACAAGTTTTCTGCCTACTTCTCCCTCTTCCTGTGTCTCATTACTTTCTAAGTAAAGAACTTCTTCCTAACATCTATTATAAATCTCTCTTCTTTTAGTTTAAAACTGATCCCTCCTATTCTAGTACTGTATTGTGATAGTGTCTATGTAAAAAAATCACTCTTCCTCTTTTTTAAAAGCCCCTTTTAAGAATTAGGAGGATGCAACAAGGCATACCCAGAGCCTTCTCTTCTTCAGCCTGAACAACCCCAACTCTCTCAACCTCTCTTAAAAGGACAGATGCCCTGATCCCTCTGATCATCTTCATGGCCTTCCTCTGGACCTGCTCCAACAGCTCCATAGCCTTGTGCTGGACACTCCAGACCTTTATGCAGTACTTCAGGTAAGGACTCTCAAGGGCGGAGTAGGGAGGGAGAATTACCTTCTTTGGCTGTTGGATACTCTTCTTTTGAGGTTTTATGCTGCAGCCTGAGGAGGACCCAATGCCAAGGAAAGTAGATATTCCCTGAAAGAACTGCAGTCTGTTTAGAAGCCAGTTTTTGCTGACAGGAACTGCAGACCATGGGAAGGACCCACAGTAGAGAATGGAAAAGAATAAGCAGGAAGGAATGTAGAGGGAATTGTTATGGACAGACTTCTGCCCTTGTTTGCCATTGCCCTGCACTCCTCAGGAAGGTGAGGAGGTAAAGGAATTGGGAATGAAGGAGTGAAGTTGAGCATGGAAAATAAAAGGGGTAGAGGAAAGGTCTTGTTTCAATGTTTTGCCTTTGCTTCTCACTATCCAAATCTATTTAAATTGACAATAAGTTAAATAATTTGTTCTGTAAATTAAGTCTATTTTGCCCACGATGGTAATTTCAAGTAATTTTCTCTATATCAACACAGGATTCTTTTCTATCTTATTTTCTTTCCTTTTCCTGTTGAAGAGGGGTTAGTAAGTTACTGGGTTGGTGTCTGGTGTCGGGCCAAAATAATCCCACTAAAGTATAGTGAACATAAGACTTTGAACAATTCTGTTTAGTTAATTTTACTTTAAAATTTTTTTGGTCGCATAATGAGAATTATGAGTCTCATATTGAATCTCATGGAATGGGCTCAAAACCCATGTGATACAACTGTGGGAATATGAATTAATTTGGTCTAATAAATTACCAAGTACTGAAATACTAGCAAATTAAAATTAAGGTCCCCCAGCATTGTCAGACAGCAGAACTCAGCATCTAATATACCCAGTGTGTCTGCTTACAGATAAGTCTTTCCATACTTGCCTGGATTTCCAGTCAATTCCTTGTGTTTATCATGAAGAGCACTCAGCAAGTGGCCGGTGTCTTGAATAATTTCTTTAACATTCTCCAGCTGCTGGCTGAGAGAGCTGCTCAGGTCTTTTGTTAAAGAGGTCAGTCCAAGCAAATACTCCTCCAAACCTCCTTTATCCAGATCACTTTTCAGAAGCAAGTCTATTGCTACAAAGTTCAGGTAAGAGATTTTTCCTAGGACTTGTCCTGATTTCCCTGCAGGTGTAATCTCACTTTCAGCTATATCCATTTTATGTTCAGAATATGCTAGTACAATTTTTTTTTTTTCACTCAAACTCTTCCACAAGTTGTTGTCCTTGGTTCAGGCTACTACACTGCTTAGCATTTTAGCCTAAACAGAAATTTTAAAATTACTGTATTCCACAAATGAAATTCTAGCTGAGAAACTCTGAGTTGATGTTGACTATTAAAAAGTTACTAGGTGACAGGAAGGAGTGGCTGTTCTGTAACCACAGGCAAGGATTGCCAGGAGATGCCAATGTACACCATGCACCTTTAAGGGAGGTTATGTGACTCAGTTATGTAGCAGTGACTTAAAGTATCAGGATATCTGAGCAATTTCTTACTTTAGTAGCTACAAATGATTGGTACTTATGAAATCAAGTTTAATTGGTTATTTACAATTATATACTCCCAACAATGAAAGACAGACACACAGAATCACTAGGGTGGAAGAGACCTTTAAGGTCATTGAGTCCAACCCATGCCCTAACACCTCAACTAAACCATGGCACTGAGTGCCACATCCTGTCTTTGTTCAAACACATCCAGGGATGGTGACTCCACCACCTCCCCAGGCAGGCCATTCCAGTACTTGATCACTCTTTCTGTAAAACACTTTTTCCTAATATCCAACCTAAACTTCCCTTGGTGCAGCTTGAGACTGTGTCCTCTGGTTCTGTCAGTTGCTGCTTGGAGAAAGAGACCGACCCCACCTGACCACAGCCACCTTTCAGGGAGTTGTAGAATGATAAGGCCACCCCTGAGCCTCCTTTTCTCCAGGCTGAACAACCCCAGCTCCCTCAGTCGTTCCTCACAGGGTTTGTGTTCCCAGCCCTTCTCCAGCCTCATTGGCTCCTCTGGATGTGTTGAAGTGTCCCAACGTCCTTCCCAAACTGAGGGGCCAGAACTGGACACAGCACTCGAGGTGTGGCCTCACCAGTGCTGAGTACAAGGGAAGGATGACCTCCCTGCTCCTGCTGGCCACACTGTTCCTGATCCAGGCCAGGATGCCCTTGGCCTTCTTGGCAACCAGGGCTCACTGCTGGCTCATGTTCAGTTGGCTGTGAGCCAGTATCCCCAGACATTTACTTTTTAAACACAGGATTCTATACCAGATCTCATGACAGCAAATGAGGCAGTAATGGCCACTTAAATTACAGCTGACTCTTCCAGGTTTTTTACTCTTCAGCAGTCTTAAAGAGAATGTATATTAGGCTGTCTGATGATCTGATGATCAGCATTTGAAGGTCTCTAAATCCAATTATTCATATAGGAAATATTCATTGTTTTAGTAAAAAAAAAAAAATAGGCCCCACATCCTATCTTAATTTCAGTACCAGCGCTGGACTATGAAAACCTATTTATTATTTTGCTGTCAATTCTCTGTTTCTATTGGTTGAAGAATGGTGATAAATTATGTAAATGGAATTTCTTAATCTTTGATGCTGTTCACTGAATAATCTTATAATTTAAGGCTCATATTTATGTACCATATTGACAGGTTTTGATAATGTAACTATAGTCTTTGGGAACAGTCATGTGGTTTTTATTTGACATAAACTCTTGCCCAAAGAGATACAGTTGGTGCACTAGTAGCTTTCAGGGCTCTGCATGTCCCCGTGGGGTTTCATGGTCCAGATCAGCCTCGCCTGGTGAGTGCATGTGATTAGTTATGATACACTTTGAAGTTTTCTGAACACTACAGATTGCAAAAGAATATGTTGCTGCAATTAGTATATTATAATTGGAAGACAGGAAGGGTAAATAAAGTAGGCAACACAAGTTATTCAGATGTACTACAGTGTATATCCTCTGAAAATATATGACTGCCTATGATATATAGTATAGAGTACACTCAAGAAAATAATATTG